AAACAGGATGCTCAAAAAAAAATTTGATCATGAAAATAGAAAAAAAAATAAAAAAATAAAAAATTAAGTCTCCAAAAATACAAAAATGTAACTATCACACAGGTGACGCTTCAAGCACGCAGGCTGATCAGTCTGATGAAGAGCCTGCATGCTCGAAATGTCACCTATGTGATAGTCTGTTATTACATTTTTGGAGCCTAGGTGTGCCGACTTTTTTCTGTTTTCATGCTGAATATTATCATATTAAATGGTTAACGGATGATGCTCTAAAACTAATGCCTGCCCAAGTGATCTGTATATATATCGATATAGATAATGTGTCATACCTTTTCCATCCCAATCTGATATGCTTTTAAAGCTTCTTGAACAGCTGTCTGGTTCTCTAGATTTGCTAGAGCAACAACTGCATTGTCCAGACAGGGCACCTTACCACTTTTGATTGTGTCTACATAAATCTCAACCAGATGTCCAAGCACTGACAACACACACAAACAGATTTAACTTGCAATTATAAAAGCATATGGGTCTGAACACTACATTTTCTTAATATTAAACTGGTAAAACACTTACATTTGCCAGTAACTCTGTGGCCTCCTTTCACGGTTTTCACGACACTATTGTGAAAGATATGGTCACAAAAATGTCCCGTGACCTTCACAAAATCAGGTACAAGGTCCCGTTCTTGCAAGCTTTCTAAGCGTGTCATGTTTTGAGGTGAGGCTGGAGAAGGAAACACGAAACACTTCCTGGGGGACGGGAAATAGTTTCGGATGCACTGACGAGGCAGGTTGTAGTCACTGACTTTCTTGCTCACACCTTTTAGGAGAAAATAACATTTTTACCAAATTGCAGAAAGATTCTTATGTCAGTTTTCGGTCACTGTTTATTTACATGTTTCAAATTCTAGCAATGTTTAAGTCTCTCGTAAATACCTTTCTTGAGCTGGAGGGCAAATTCAAGGTACTCGTCCTCAGTCACTCTTTTTCCTTCAATTTCCAATTCCAAGGTGAAATCTCTCACGATCCAGGTGAATGATGGGAAAAACTGCACAAACTTACAATCCTCTTCTTCCTCCTCATCATCTGCTGCTGTCGATCGGATCTTGATCTGCTCCGCGAGCTCAGTAACGTAGCTGCAGCACATTAAGGAATAACAGCATCTTGTAAAGTGTATGTTTGTATATGTGAAAGAGAAAGTGGGTTGTGAGGCAGGTTAAAGGATACTGCAGCTTTTCCACTGCAGTGTTATCAATAGT